CAAAGGGTCCATGTAGATATATGGTATATACTTAGGGCCCAATGGGGTTCCCATATACCTACATTAAGGCCCAAGGGGGGTGTTTCCATACTTGGAGGTCCGTTCTACTTAAAACCTACTTCGTAACTGTAGTTATAACCTTGTTATATCCAGGGCAACTGTCGTTATGGGACTTATAATTCGGTTATAACTGCAGTTACTAATTAGGTTATAAGTAAAACGGACCTCCCAGCAGTAAGGGTTGTAGGATCCCTGATTTTCCACGCAGGTAGGCCCTCTAGTTACGTGAGCGCGCGAAGAGTGGGTGCGCTAGAGTTAGGAGCGCACCCACTGCGCGCTCACTCTGATATACACCCTAAACCTACATCCTCAACCCCTAGCGTCAAACCCTAAAACTTGAACTCTAAACCTTAGACCCTTTATAAACCCTAGACCAGGGTTTAGGATCTCGCGTTGAGCACGCCTCCGCTCAAGCCCCTATGCGCCAGCAAAGACCACATTAAGAGGGGTTTACGGTTTAGGGTCTAGGGTGTAGGACTTATAACCCTAAACCCTAAATCCTAAACCGAACACCCTAAACGCAAAACCCTACAGGGCTTATTGTTTAGGATGCCGGCATGATGGGTAAGCAAGGTTGTCCTCAAGACTTGCCTTTCGCGCTAATCCTGACTTGTAGGGTAATTTGCCTAAGTAGGGGGACCCCAATATTTGGGTTGAGGGTGTCATATCCTAACTTTTAGGGTAATCTGCCTGAATATGGGGAGACCAACACATCGCTCTTTTTTTGACAGGTTATCGTGAAGGAGGAGGAGGAAGAGTTCATATGGAATGAAGGTGATCCACGAGCTGACGACCCGTGGTATCCCTACACTGGTGATTGGTAGCAGCCGGGCGGACCATTCCAACAGACCTCTAAGCGCATGTATACTATTCTACGAAGCATTCAGGTTCCGTGTAAGGTTGGGGTGAGGGCTTAAGATTTGGGGTGCCGTTGCCATATAGCTATGTCGGTCGTTTTTGTTTTGACGTTAGTTACTGTAGCTACAAGACCCTGGCAAAGGAGTCTTGCCAGTCGGTGGTCATTCATAAAGTCCCAATTTCCGAAGGCGCGCGGTATGCAAGAGCGTGCTTGTGCCCAATTTCCACCTTTGTTACAGTAAAGTGCGATCGCCAGGATGATTAGCTGCTGCTTTCGCCACCACCAGCAACAACTCCTGCAGCAGCAGCTCCGCAACCATCACCGGCACAGCTGCCGGTGCCGTCACAAGCAAAAGCAGCCACTCTGCTGTAATCAGTTATCATTACCACTACTACTACCTATAGTCCCTGTCTTTGTGCTTGCTCAAACTGTTTTAGCGTTTTGTTGCTGCCGCAGCTTTGGTTCTCCATCAGCTGCTCAGTCTAGCTGCTTAGATTTCACAGCCTTCACGCATGCTCGCATTTCGAACACCCGCCCTCCACGCCCTGTGACACTTGGTTTTCTATCTTGTGTTGTTCGTACAACTACTGGTGCTGATGCTATAAATTACGCTGTTGCTTCGCAGTCTGCGGAGGTTGTTCGTACGCATACTGTT